TTTTTTTTTTTTTTTTTTTAGTTATCTAAATATTTTTATATAAGATACTTATATATGAACATTAACTGGTAAATTTAGAATGTAATTGTGTGTTTTTGTTATATATGTCATGGGTAAATACAATAATAATTGCAAAAAACAATTTCTATTCACTGGGCAAGTTAGCACATGTAATTCTGAACTGTTAGTCCAGCATTGAAGGTAATAATAGCTTGCAATAAACTGAACATGTAGTGGAGACTTCTACAATTTAAATCATAAATTATGTTTATGAAATTACCTTTATGAAGAACTTATACTTTGTGGAGTGTAAACTCCATTAAAATGTGAAAAGGACATTGTTCTTGAGGTGTAGGGACTTTGTTTTATTTACTACTTTGTTCCCAGCATCTAAAACAATGCATGCCTGGCATGTAACAGGTACTCAGTGGATGGATGGATGGATGGATGGATGGATGGATGGATGGATGGATATAGATGGATGGATGGATGGATGGATGGATGGATGGATGGATGGATGAACAATTAAATAGTATTTACATATAATATCCCTAAAGCCCTTTGGATCCAAATAAAATTTTTAAGTTTTTTGCCATTGCTAACTTATCTCTTTGAAATTATTATGCAAAGTGTTTAAAAAGAACAGGGTAATATATTGGTGGCCTTGTGCACTTACAAGATTTCCCACAGCCGAGGTAGAGTTTCCATAGAACTCCATTCAAGTAACATGTGAATGCTTAAAGACCCAGCACTTGCCCCGGGCATTTGCTTGAAAAGTGTTCCTGCTTTATGAGACCAGTCACACGAGCTGCATAACAGCACTGAGTTGTATCTGTCACTACCAATGTGGGTTTTTAGCATGGCGAACGGGTGCGGACAGAAAAACAGTGTTCACTGGTCTCAGCTGAAACTACTATGGAGAGCACAGGCACATTAGAAGAGTTAGCCTTGCTTCAAGAAGAAATAATGAAAGTCATAAAATACCAAGACAGCAAACGGCTTCTTCTACACTGAACAGTAGTGGGAAACATGCAAGTTATTTGCAAGTTACAAACCACCAAGGAAGCCTAAAGAAAAATCTATTTCCTATCACCAAGTCATAATCCAGTTGGTCAAGTTACTGGTTAGAGAACATAGTTCTCTTGTGTGGCAGCAGGGGTGGGAGGTGGGGGGGTGGCTAAGTTGTATAAATGTACCTTCTTTCAAGTGGTGTTCTTCAGTAAAATGAATCTTCAGAATACCTCTAGTCTCAGGACCTTTGATTCTTATAGTATGTTTAAAAGATTGCAAAAATCAATCCAAGTAAAAATTGGAAAATTAAAATATTATCAGTACTCTGCTTCAGATGTGACTGCCCCCCCTCTGACAAAGCTGGAACTCACCGTCTGTGGCAGGTAGCAGAGACTAGGCATCCATTTGGCCCCAGAGCAGTAATAGGTGCTGCAGATACAATAGTGTGCAGCACAGGGTGTTCACATAATTCAGAAGACCAGTTCACTTATGATAAACACAATCCCAGTTGTATCATCACATCAAGGTAGTAAGTTTAAAAAATCTCAGAATTACAGCCTCCTATTCATTCCCCTAAAACCCTGTTCATCACCGTCCGGGTGTCGCTCAGCGGTTGAGCATCGACCTAGGATCCAGGAGATCGCGGTTTGATTCCAGGTCAGGGCACATGCCCAGGTTGTGGGCTCAGTCCTCAGTCAGGGGCGTGCAGGAGGCAGCTGATCAATGGCTCTCTCATCATTGATGTTTCTATCTCTCTCTCTCCCTCTCCTTCTCTCTCTCTCAAACCAATAAATATTAAAACAAAACAAAACAAAAAAACCTGTTCATCTATAAGAAATAAGGGTAGACAAAGTATAATACATATATTGCATATATATAATTTTGTTCTTTATAATTTTTAGGCTGAAATAGGTTCCTTTTTTTTTTTTAACCTTTCAAGAATATTTGAAAGTGCATATCCAGAGGAATGAATGTAGACTCAGGATTTTAGTAGGAGAATTTTAAAACTTTCCCATAATTCTGTCTTGCTAACTTGAAATTACTATGGCTTTCTTCCTTGTTTTGTTTATAGTTTTATCTTTGGGTGTCTTTTTTGTAAAAGTGAGGAGGAGGGGTGGTTTGAGCTGAATGGTGCTGCTATGGGAATAGTTTTATTTCTTTTTTGGGTAGCCCTTCCCCAGTTGTGGAATAATCTATCCCATTATAGTGCTCACATTTAATGTCTCAAAGATAGATTATTGAGTGTCTAATTTGCCAGGTATTGAGCTAAATGTTTTGTATGCATTTCTTATTTAACCATCACAACCTTTGGGAAGAGAGAAAATCATCATTCCTGTTTCACAGATAAGGAAACTGACGCTTAGAAAGGTTAGAATCTAAAACTAGTAAGATGCAGAACTGGAAGTTGAATTTAGATTTATCTTACTCAAAATCCGTGCCCTTAACCTTCATGTCATACCACTTCCCAGAGCTTCCGAAGAAAATCTTTCTCTATGAAGGCTATAAAGTACTTGCTTTATTTCTTCATTTTCTGATTTCTTTATTTTTTTCTCATTTTCATACTCTTGTAATGGAAATAGTTATGCACAAGAACTCTTTAAATCCTTATCTGGCTTTGTATAAAGCTCAGCCCAAGTGGACGTCGTGTGCACCTCTGTCACTGTCCTTTGTAGTGCCATTGTAGGAAGGGTTTGCCACTGATCGGATCCTTCACTGTCAGCTGAAGTTGGAGTTTTGATGCACCGTGTTTTTCACATTTCCAGTGCCGTGATGTCTGAAGTGAATAGTGTCTTTGAATATAAATTGTGCTTATCTAAAGTAACAAAATTTTGTAATTACAGACCTAACTGTTAACTAAAAACATCTTATCTTCTGGGTCATGTCACGGTAATACTCTCTGGTGTGTTTTTATAGTCGGTTCTCTCGGAGTTTAAGTTTCATAACTTCTACACTTCAAGGCTGAAGAAAATTCCCAGCAGATGCAAAATAAAGAAGGGTACACACGTGCACCTCTCATGGGGTTTTGGAAATAAAAGCACCCTCTGTTGGTCTTCCATTCCGTTGTTACTAGATTCTATTTGGCAGTAATGTGTTTTCTTCTTTGTGTTCAAAGGGCAGTCATTCTACAAAAGTGGAAGCCGTGGTCAGAACTCTGATGAGAATCCAGCGTAGAGATCCGGGGGCTAAAGCGCTCGTGTTCTCAACGGTATAACCAGCATTTCCACCCTCAGTATGAGCACAGGCTGGCTTTCTGTCTCTAATTACTTTATAACTGAGAACTAGTTATTAATGTTTGCCGTAATATAGGTGAGATTGAGAAATACGGATAGATTCTTTTCCACGTTAGATTTTTCCCATGTCTATACGATAGAATTATTTTTATAGAATTTTATGATGCTTCACAAGACAATTTCTATAGCTACATTTTATGTTTTTATATATAGGTTTACTTAGGGATTTTCTTACATTAACATTTTTAAAAATTGGACCTTGAAAGTCTCTCTTCACAAATGAATTTAAGAAAGAAAAATAATGAACTGAAAGAAAATTCTAGTTTTCGTTTTGGAAGATAAGTAACCACATTCGTTAGGCACTCCATTGTTTATTTCCTATTATGTTTATCTTAATTCACTTCTCACTGGTTTTGGGGGTTTTTTTACCCTATCTTTAACCAGCATTTGGCTAAAAAAATAAGAAACTAGTACCATTTCAAGATAGAAGTAAATAATACTGGTGGTATTTCATTTAAAGGTTTTGGTTTTGTGTTTACTTAATTCTGAGGTACCAACTTATTTTCACTTAGCTCCTTTCCAGAATCTCTTTATGTAAAACTCTGTGTGTTTTCTTGTTTTATGTGTTCTTAGTGGCAAGATGTATTAGACATTATTTCAAAAGCTCTCACTGACAACAACATGGAATTTGCACAGATCAGCCGTGTGAAGACATTTCAGGTATGCCAAGATTTTCTCAAGTTTTTTAAAGTGGATTCAGTTGCAAATGAAAACTTCTGTTAACTAGCTTACTTTTATTTATTGTCCTGTGTCTTGATTAATTATAAAGCAAAGCAGAGAAACTAGTTCTTCTCTTTCTGTTCAGTTATACCCATAGCAAGATTCTTCTGACTTGAGGTACATTTCTTTAATATAGCAAAAGATGGCCTATAATATACCTTTTGAATGGACAGGATCCTCATGTCCCTGGGATTAGGTTCTAACTTCACTGCATCAGGCAAAACTGCATGTGGTCAGATGGTCCTTATGTCACACACACCACGACAGGTGCACACCCAGAGACAAATACACACAAAAAGACCAAGAGAAAAGGGAACAGATTCATGTCTTTATCTCATACTCACTCTTAACACATTCTTTCTCTTCTCTTTCTCTCAGCTCATATAGTTTAATTTGCATACATCACATACATGTATCTTGTGATTCCACTAGACCTTAGGTGCCACTTTCCCTCATAAACTCAAGCAGTGAGTCTACATTTTCTAAAATTGATCATTTTACATTTAACTTTCTTAGCTATTACATTTCACAAGGACCTGGATACTGTTAGGCATATTTAACATGAGTTGTAATATACTGTGGTTATTTTTAACTGATCCAGCTAAAATTTAAATGTACCTTTCTTTTTTAGGAGAACCTTTCTGCATTTAAGCATGATCCCCAAATCAATATTTTGCTGCTGCCCCTGCACACAGGTTCTAATGGGTTAACTATCATTGAAGCTACTCATGTTCTCTTGGTGGAGCCCATATTGAACCCTGCCCATGAGCTTCAGGCCATAGGAAGAGTGCACCGAATTGGACAAACAAAGTAAGGACTGAAGTTAATATCAGTCAAATTTGCTTCAAGTTCCTAAAACTCTTCATTTAGGTTCATCATAACCTATCCATTTTTAGTCTCTTCCTCATTTATATTATTATATGACAAAAAGATGTTTTGAGATTTCCAACTCTTCTCCTCCAAGCAACAAACCCAAAATTCTCCTAGATTTTTGTCTTTTCTCCTTCACAAATTATCCTGATACTTAGAGCAGAGGAGCGACATGATCTGATGTAAGTGTTGAAACAGTGATTCCAAGCGCCACATTTGGGCTGGGGCGGGGCGTGTGCATCAAGGGAGACTAGTTCGAAGGTGGTCGCAGTAATCCTGGTGAGAGCTGAAGGTTACCTGGACCATGTTAACTGTAGTGGAAAAGGTGATACGTGGTCAGGTTCCAGATTTATTTCAAAGGTAGAACCAGTAGTATTTGTGGACGGACTGGACACAGTGTGTGAGAGAGGCAGGTTAACACCATGGTTTCTGGCCTGGACAGCTGAAGGATGGAGCAGCTTTCAGTGGACCTGGGGAAGGCTCTAAGGCAGAGCAGATT